TCAAAATTAAAGTCAAACATCAATCTCTCAATACAAATTATCCATATTTAAAACACCATTCTAGAAAATTCAAGCAATCTAGAAAACTCAAGAAAATTGAAGCAAATCACAAATTATCCATAAATAACATGATTAATTGAAAGCTTCTTCCTTTCAATTCAGTTTCTTCACTCTCCACTCGATAACATCAACTTCATTCTACACAATTAGAAGATACAACAATGTATTCAATTTATAGTCATAGTCATAATAATATTTGCTGTTGAAGTTAGGGATGCTCTCGACAGCTCTGACTGCTCAGCCTTCTCCGGCGCCGGTTGGCTCTGAAACTGGCCGGCCGCAGGATACAGGCCAGACTCCTGACACGATTTCTGCTAGCTTCATGCCCTCGGAAGCGAAAGATCACCCCTCCTCGACTGCGATGATGACTAATCCAATCATCGGTGACGCCCATCTGGGTTCTAAGCCACTCGTGGTAGAGGCGAACACCAGCCCCGACAACCAGATGATCCTCACGACCGCGCCATCGCCTCAGGCGATGACGGCTTCAAAACAGCCCTTCTCGTATGCGAGCGTTCTCACAGGATGAGACTTTCTGCGTGACACTCTCAAGGAAGTAGGGCTGCCAAGTACATGGATCAACTGCATCATGTATTGTGTGGAGCAGAAGCGAATGAGGATCCTCTGGAATGGGGAATTGTCTCAAACCCTTACCCCGACACAGGGGGGTCGCTAGGGAGACCCTCTCTCACCCTACCTTTTTGCTTTGTGCATGGAACGCTTATCTCATATGATTGATGAAGCCGTTAATAACAAGAGCTGGAAACCCATCCACCTGACCAGGGGAGGGCCGCCTCTTACTCACCTATTTTTTGCAGACGACCTTCTTTTGTTTGCAGAAGCAGAGACGAGACAAATTAGGGTCATTCAGTAGTGTTTGGATGAATTCTGCTTCAGCTCTGGGCAAAGAGTTAATTACAACAAATCCCTGCTTTATGTGTCGCCTAATGTGGATCGACAGAAGGCAAATCATTTTAGCAGACGAGCTGGCATTCCTCTGAAGATGGAGCTAGGGAAGTACCTGGGGCTTCACACTATCCATGGAAGGGTCACCCAAAGCCGCTATCAGAGCCTTCTTCTTTGCATCCAGCAGAAGCTGGCACCCTGGAAGGCGAAAAAACTTTCTTTTGCGGCCCGGCTTACTATTGTCAAATCTGTTTCGTCCTCCCTTCCTACTTACTGCATGAATACTGAATTAATCCCCAGTGCTGTTTGTAAGAGTATTGACAGGATGAACAGGGACTTTATATGGGGAGATGAGGAAGATAAATCGAAGATGCATCTGGTAGCCTGGGACAAGATGACGCAACCCAAGTTGCAAGGTGGAGCTGGCCTAAGATCTCTCAAGCAAGCAAATCTCGCAATGCTTGATAAGAGCGGTTGGAGATTGATAAAGGAGAAAGACAGCCTTTGGACCCAGCTGATGATGGCTAAGTACGGTCGGCAGCGGGAGAACCTTGAGATCATCCGTCCAATTCAGGGAAGTTCCTTTACCTGGCGAAACTTTGCTAAAGCTTCTAATCTCCTCCGGAAAGGTTGTGCTTGGACTATCAAGAACGGTAAACATACTAAGTTTTGGCTTGATTCGTGGGTTTTACAGGTCCCGCTCAAGGAGGTTGCCCTTGGTCACATCCCGGAGTCATGTGTAGCTGAGCCGATCGAGAATTTCATGGAGGAAGATGGAACCTAGCGGACGGAGCTCTTCGAGGACCTCCTCCCGAGCGATGTTTGCCATAAGATCCTTAGCATTGGAGTCGACAAGACGGCCACGGAGGAGGATACCATTTTGTGGTCAGCTTCGTCGGATGGGAGGTTTTCGGCAAAGTCAGCTTATTCACTCCAAAACCAGAGACCGCCCGACCCGGATGAGGAAATCTGGAAGATCGTCTGGAGCCTCCCTGTACCGGAAAGGATCGGGAGTTTCATGTGGCTTACTGTTTTGGGGAGACTGGCGACAAAGTCTCTACTGTTCTTCAGGAAAGTAGCAATCAACCAGAGTTGTGTTAGCTGTGGAGATCCGATCGAGTCTATCCTTCATGTTCTACGTGATTCCACCGCGGCCCGGTATTTCTGGTTTTGTCACAGCTCGGTGAGTCTTCAGGCCAGCTTCTACAGCTCGGATGAAAGCAGTTGGCTGCGTGAGAATCTTAAGAGCAGTGAGCAATTGGACTCGGGCATGAGTTGGGCTGCTTTTTTCAGCGTCGCATCCTGGCTCATCTGGAAGAATCGGTGCACGTCCTGTTTCAAAGGTCCAAGCTCTGCCCTCCCCCCCCCTCCCCATCCCTTGAGTTTTCGATTATGGCTAAGCGTTAAGCTGTTGCATGAGGCTTGGCAAGCTCACTCTCCTCTTCCCAATGGTAGAGGGCCGGTGACTGCGCGTACTACGACGATGGTTGGGTGGACTCCCCCGAGGCGCGGTTGGTTGACTCTCAACGTTGATGGAGCCTCTTACGGCAACCCCGGGGCTGCGAGAGCTGGTGGTGTTCTCCGCGACTGGACAGGTAAATGGATCGTTGGTTTCGTTGCGAACATCGGGACGACAACATCTATTTTGGCCGAGCTGTGGGGCGTGTTTCATGGTTTGGATATGGCTGGGAAAAAGGGTTGTAGGGGGGTGCGCCTTGAGTTTGACTCCCAGCTTGCGATACAGCTCATCAACAACAAAAATGACCCTGTCCACCCCCATGCAACCCTTCTTTCGGCGATCCGTAGGAAGATTGGTTAGGAGTGGTTGGTAAGCATCACTCATGTATACCGGGAAGGGAATAGAGTCGCGGACTGGCTCTCGAAGCACAGTCTCGTCTATCCCTACGACATACATGAGGTTGCTAACCCACCCTCCGAGTTAGCTTCTATTGTTAGAGAGGACGCCATGGGTGTTTCCTTCGAGCGTCGGATTGTGGCGCCTACTGCTCCTGTCCTGTAGGGCCCCCTGTATTCTGTCTCTCGACTTTTGCCTCCTTTTACGCAAAAAAAAAAAAAAAAATTTCTACACAATTAGAGAGAAAAAAAGTAGACATGTCTCCACAAACATAAATAAGATTAGTTGTTTATAATATTAAATATACCAAGATAATTAAATATATGGTCGTGGGCGGGTACCCATGGGTCGAGTTTACCTAGACCCAAACCCAACCCAAATCTCTAGACCCCACGGACTTGTAAATCCCACATATTTATTTAACAAATCCATCATCAAATCTATAATGCAAACATTAGACTCTTCAAATCCATAATCCAATAAATCCATCATAAATCCCAAAGTTTTTGTTGATCAAAACCCTCATTTTTCAAATCCAACAAGCAAACGACTAAGTAAAACGGTTATTAACCTATATCTTATTGCCAAAGTCAGTCTTATATTATTTTCTTTTAACAAATATGTGCATATATTTGCTAGATATAAGGATTATTTAGAAATCTTGGGTTCCTATTTCCTAGATTGCTGATAACTTTATTAGTAAAAAATAGGCAAAATACACTTGTATAGCCATAACTTTCACGTTTTTGACAAATATAGCCATATCTATTCGAAAACACGAAATAGCCAAGAAAATGGATGGTCGTGTGACAAATCTAGCCATTTCCGTTAGAAACTTTAACGGTGTTAGAAACTCCGTTAGTTAGGTTAACGTTAGGCTGACTAGGATCCCAAATCATCGCACACGTCAGCGACCAGTCAGCGTATCATTGCCACGTCATTTTAAATTATTTAAATAATTAATTTTGAAATAAAAAAAATTCACTAATTTTTTCCCTTCCCTACCGATTCAACTAGCATCAACCCCAGACACTCCCCGCCGCCTGCTACCCAAACCCATTGTTCACCAGAAAACCCCAAAAAAATTACCCCTATTCTTTTAACAAGAACCCTTATAATAAGCTCAAATCCCCTTCCTCATCCAAATCCACCAATTTATTATGTTCGCCAACAGAGTAGTGGTGGAGTCGTTGATCCAGAGAGGAGAATCTCTCGTCGGCAGCGTCAATATGATCGGAATCAAGAATTGGGGTTTGGTCTTCTTTTCTGCCGTTTTAGTCCTTTCCTTTCCTGCTACCCAGTCGGCGTATCTGAAGGCTACAGCGATGAGGTCCGATCCTTCCCTGCCGCTAACCTCTTTGATCTCGCGAACGCGTTCCTAGAAAGAGAATACAGGACCACAACGAGAAACAGCAGTCCCAATCTTTTGCGGCAACAACGGCGCTGGATCTCGTCTGAATCGCAACATGTGTAGCCTTCGGAAGATGGGATCGAAATCCTACTTCAAGTCTTGATTCGCAGTCCCATTGTTGGTAGGGGAAGAAGAAGGCCTGTGGAGTAGTTGCAGCCGCCGCCGTCGCCGCCGTGGGCTTTCGATTGGGAACGACGATTAAGAAGTGGGATTTAACTGTGGGGACGTATCTGGCGAAGAGGAGGTGGTCGTGGGTTCTCAAGATTTCTACGGTTTTCGCTTGGGAAGAGGTGACGAGCTGGTGGCCCAGCCGGAGGTGGTGGTCGGTTCTTGGATGACGACGAGGATGTTGATAGAGAGTGGGAGGAGAAGAAGATAAGAGTTGCCCAGATTGCTTTATGATTTTTTATTTTAATTTTTCGACCTAGTTGCCACGTTGCTTTATGATTTTTTTTAATTTCTTTTAATCCACGTCAGTTGGTGGGGACAGTAAATCGCTAGATCAGCATCTTCCGTTTGTACAGTCATACTGTCAACTGACGCCGTTAATAAAATGGACGGAATTGGTTATTTTTGGTTTTTGAATAGTTATGGCTATATTTGTCACAAACGTGAAAGTCATGGCTATACAAGTGTATTTTGCCTAAAAAATATGATTGGCCCTAAACTTATAGCTAAGTGTCATTGGTTCATTGGCGCTATTGTTTTGTCGGTTCAATTGTTTTTAGTTGCTTTCTTGTTATGGTTTGGAGTTTGGACTGTGGGAAAGACAAAACCGTGACTGCAAAATTACCCTTTCTCACATCACCTACTTTCTTGGTCTCCAACGGGTGGAACGGGAAAGTAGCAGGATTCTCTACTTCTACTGTAGAGAGAGATAGAGAGAGTCCGAGTCCGAGCCAGAGAGACTGGTAAAAGCAAAAGGGTAACAGAAGAGAAGACTTTCCCTTTCACCAAACACAAAAAAGTGGGATTTCAGAGATTTTCTCTCTGGATTCCATCCATACGCTCTCTCATCTCCTTCCCCTCCCCTCCTGTTGTGCATCTGGGCTCTAGATTTCTTCCCCTTCCCAACAGCCCGATTTTCACCGATGCCCCATAGCTCAACTGGGTATTCTTTTCCCTCGTGTTTCATCCACTCTGTGTCATTCAATCCTTCTAGTCCACTTGCTTCGAGAGGTGGGCTGACTGATTGACTGACTTGACCTGGCCCGATTTCGCGAAGAAGCTGGGATCTGGAATTTGCTGCTTGCTGCCTGGTAGAGATCTCAACTCAACAGTGGGTGGTTCGACTTGGTTATATATGCTTTCAATCTTCTGCTGTATATTTGAAATCTTGTAGCTCAATAGTGTGTGTTTGAAGGGGATCCATTTCCCCTTCGATTCTGGGAGGATTCTCCAGACCGTAGTTAAATCAGGCTCGCCTAGCTAGAGAGTTATGCAAAAGGGATGTGAATTGATATGTGGAAGAGCCCCTATTTTTGTGAAAGTTAGGAATTAGATTTCTTCCCCTTACCCTGGTGGGGGCAAAAGTTTTGGCTTTTAGCAATTTATTGGAGGCGAAAGCTTTATTACTAGAGATTTTGTGTAGCATTTTGTTTGTATGTTTGGATGTATTGTTAAATTTATCTCATTTTCTTTTTTGGGGTATAGGAAAGTTCATTGCTCTGTAGGGCTGGGAGGATCATCTTAACCGAAGCTGGGCCTGCCCTTTTTCATCACAAGTAGAAACTAGCATCCATTTGTTGTTTTCCCCTTTTGATTGTCAAGTTTTGTCTGTCTCTGAATGTTCTCCGGAGAGGGCCATCCATACATGATACAGACTGGGAAGGAGCTTGCTAGGCTACTGTGGAGATCTGGGGCTTGTTTGAGCTCTTCTGCCCCATGAAGGGTTTCTTTCCATCTGAGGTCTGTCGCTAAATGTTCTACGGAGAGGGACATCCATACATGATACAGACTGGGGAGGGAGCTTGCTAGGCTACTGTGGAGATCTGGGACTTGTTTCAGCTCTTATGCCCCATGAAGGGTTTCTTTCCATCTGAGTCTTGTAAAGAGTCTCAACTCAGTTCATTCAATCCACAGTCATGGCTTCAAGTTGAAAGAGGGAAGCTTTCCAAGTTCGGTTCACATCCTTTTGATTCATCCATGTAAGTATTCTTTTTTCTTTCTATTTTATCCCTTCTGAAATGGTTCTTATGTGGGTGCGATGTTCAATAAATTGGGATGGTCTTGTTTTCCCCCTTATTGCCCTTTGGTTGTAGAGAATCACTTATCAAGATCCCTGAACCGCCCGTGCTCCCATTCTTCAAACCTGTTGATTATGTGCAAGTTTTAGCTGAGATTCATGAAGAACTTGAATCATGCCCCAAAAATGATAGGTCGAATCTGTATTTATTACAATATGAGGTCTTTAGAGGCCTTGGGGAAGTCAAGTTAATGCGAAGAAGCCTCCGTTCAGCTTGGCAGAAGGCTAATTCTGTTCATGAGAAGATTGTATTTGGGGCATGGCTGAAGTACGAAAAGCAAGGGGAGGAAGTTATTGCTGATTCCCTTGCAACTTGTGGGAAGTGTGCTGAAGAGTTCGGACCAGTAGACATTCCTGTGCAGCTTGATCTTGATGCTAGTTTGTTGGGGTCTCAGGAGACTTTGCTGTTGGTGACAAGTGATCACGTCCTGAAAAACGTCACTTTCAGAATTGGAGATAACAGAATTGTTTGTGACAGGCAGAGAATTGCTCGCCTTTCTGCTCCATTTAATGCTATGCTGAATGGGTGTTTCTCAGAATCACTTCGGGACGATATAGATTTATCTGAGAACAATATATCTGCTTCGGGCTTCATAGCAGTAAGCCGGTTCAGCACAACTGGGAATCTGAATGAAGTTTCTTCGAATATTTTGTTGGAAATCTTGGTTTTTGCAAACAAGTTCTGTTGTGAAAAGCTCAAAGATGCATGTGACAGGAAACTGGCGTTGTTAATAACATCAAGAGATGATGCTGTGGAACTCATGGAATATGCTCTTGAAGAGAACGCCCCTGTTCTTGCTGCCTCGTGTCTACAGCAGTTTTTAAGAGAGCTACCCAATTGTTTGGATGACGATCGCGTGGTTGAAATATTCGTTAGTGCCAACAAGCAAGAGAGACAAATCATGGTAGGATCAGCTGCATTTCCACTGTATTGTCTATTAAGTGAAGTTGCTATGAGTGTTGATTCTCACTCTGATAAAACAGCTTATTTCCTGGAACAATTGGTTAACTCAGCCGAATGTGACAGGCAGAAAATGCTGGCTTTTCATCAGTTAGGATGTGTGAGGCTCTTGAGGAAAGAGTACGATGAAGCCGAATGTCTTTTTGAAACTGCTTTGAATCTAGGCCACACATACTCTGTGTCAGGTCTGGCTAGACTTGTTTACATCAGGGGTCATCAAGATTTGGCATATGACAAGCTTAGCTTGGTTATTTCTTCCTCTCTTCATCCGCTAGGGTGGATGTACCAAGAAAGATCATTGTACTGCGAAGGTAGTCAGAAGGTAGAAGACCTTGAGAAAGCAACCGAGTTGGATCCAACTCTTACTTACCCCTACATGTTCCGTGCTGCTTCATTGATGAGAAATCAGAATGTTCAAGCTGCACTAGGAGAGATCAATAGGGTCCTTGGGTTCAAACTTGCGTTGGAATGCTTAGAACTTCGCTTTTGCTTTTATCTCGCTCTCGAGGATTACCGGGCAGCACTTTGTGATATTCAGGCTATTCTTACACTCTCACCTGATTATAGAATGTTTGAAGGACGGGTTGCAGCGTCCCAACTTCGCATCCTTGTCCGTGAACATGTTGAGAATTGGACAGCAGCAGATTGTTGGCTGCAATTGTATGATAGGTGGTCTTCTGTTGATGACATAGGATCCCTTTCTGTTATATACCAGATGCTTGAATCAGATGCACTGAAAGGCGTTCTGTATTTCAGACAATCTTTGCTTCTTCTCAGGTATGTTTATAACTTTGAATTGTGTACCTACATTATAGTCTCAGGAATTTTTTTCTTCACCTCTCCGATCATCTATTTTTGGCTTGTGGTGCCTTTATGAGGTGGACTATGGATTTTCCCCTATGAATGACATGGAGTAGAATTTTAGCTGCTCCTTTTGATAGATAGCGAATGCCACGAGAATGTATTCTCTATATGCAACCTATTAACATGGTATTTCTTCTAAGATGGGGATGGCCAGTGAATGGTGATGTTTGGAAAGCCTCACGTTTGCTAGTTCCCTCTATATACATATTTTCCTTAATATAGTTTTTTTCTTTTGCTGTTTGGAACATGATCTCAATTCTATGTGTTGTCATATCTTCATGGAAATTAATCAGGTTGAACTGTCCTAAAGCAGCAATGCGAAGTCTACAATTAGCTCGTCAACATGCATCGACAGTGCATGAGCGTTTGGTGTATGAAGGATGGATACTGTATGATACTGGTCACTGTGAGGAAGGGCTTCAAAAAGCAGAAGAATCTATTAGAATCAAGAGATCTTTTGAAGCTTTTTTCCTTAAAGCCTATGCACTGGCTGACTCTAGCCTTGATGTGTCATGTTCTTCAACTGTTATTTCACTCCTCGAAGATGCTTTGAAATGTCCCTCGGACAGACTGCGTAAAGGCCAGGTATTCGGTTTTTTTGTGCCTGAAGGTTCTTCGTTGAAATATTCTTGTATTTCCCGGATTTGCTACGCATGATATCCACTGCACGATGTGATTGGAGAGTGTTAACGTTTCATCTGTCACCCAAGTTAGGTTATGATACTAATATGCTATTTTTTTCAATAGCATGGTATTATTTATTTTTTATGCTATTCTGTGAGATGTACTTGCAAAAACACTCTTTGGTTTTGTGCATTTGTGCAGAAAAATGAGTGAAAAATGATGCTTGGGAGCCACTTATGTAGAGTGCATTTTTATACTACTTGCTAATCTTTATCCTCCATGTATTTGAAATTGGGTCATTTTGATATTACATTTTGAAATTTTAAACACATCCAATTACATCAAAAGTGTCAACAGACAACGATAAATTTGTTCTTTTAGCATGCTATTGCAAATATCACCCTCTCATATTCACCCTACCTACATATCTGTTATAGAAAATTTAGACTCGGGGTGGAAAGAATAAACTGAGGAGCTAAAGTTCTATCTGGTTTATGAATGGGATCATAACTTTTTTGTAGGTATAAGGAGGTTTAGCTGTTTCTCTCATCTGTTACCTAAGTTCGGTTCAGTGATATTAATACTTACAACTTCAGACTTGGCATAGCAAAATAAAGTAGGCAGTTAATAATGTTTTAGCTAAATATGAATGGCTTGAAACAGATTTCCCGATCTGCTGCAATGAATTTGTCATTTGATGACTAAATGCTTCATCTCTTTGGCAGGCACTTAACAATCTAGGCAGTGTCTATGTTGATTGTGGGAAGCTAGACTCTGCAGCTGATTGCTATATCAATGCATTGAAAATCAGGCACACCAGGGCACATCAGGGCCTTGCCCGTGTCCATTATCTAAGAAACGACAAGGCAGCTGCATATGAGGAAATGACCAAACTGATAGAGAAAGCTCGGAACAATGCTTCTGCATATGAGAAGAGGTCTGAGTACTGTGATCGTGACCTGACCAAGGTTGATCTGGAGATGGTAACAAAACTAGACCCACTTCGTGTATACCCCTACAGATACAGAGCTGCAGGTCAGATAGTCATCTTCTTCACTCCTCTGAATATCTCTGCCTTGTCTATCCTCCCATAATGCTATTTAACAAACATTCACTGTACTTTGATTTTTAACAAATACGTCACTTTGCTGTAGTTTGGACAGATCCATGATCAATATGTTGGTTAGTCGCTTTTAGTCCCTCGATCAAAACTTCCATCAGAATTTAGTTGTAGTTTGGATCCATGAGTAGTCAAAGCGTCTTAGATGACTCACATGTCACTTTTGCTGAAAGGTGATCTTTTCGTCCCCCAATTCAGTTCTTAAGCCCAACATCTCTCATTCTTTCTCTTACGGATACATCTGTCATTTGGGAGATGAAGGGGGTGTAAAAGATGCATTTCTTGCTTACCGTGACATGCAAGTTATCAAGATATGATGGGTCGGCCTCATTGGTGATGTGAATTTTGATGAAATTCAATGACTTGTTTTCTTATAATTTATATTAGAAGGATGTATTTCTTAAAATGACAGCAGATCTGCACATGTACTAAAAATGCAATAAGTCCTTCGTTTTTCTTTTTATTCCTAGGATTGTTCTGCTGCTATTCGTTTCAGCAGCAATCGGTGCTGGAGTTTGCAATGCTTTTAGGCTGCGAAACCGTTGTTGGGTCTGAGCCTGACCTTGAAATTTGGTTTTTTGATGAAAGCAGTGTTAATGGACAGCCAAAAGGAGAAAGAGGCTATTGAAGAGCTGTCAAGGGCAATTGCTTTCAAAGCCGACCTCCATCTCCTACACTTGAGGGCAGCATTCCATGAGCACATTGGGGACGTCACAGGGGCCCTACGAGACTGTCGAGCAGCTCTCTCTGTGGACCCGAACCATCAAGAAATGCTCGAGCTTCATAGCCGCGTAAACAGCCACGAGCCTTGAAAGTTGAACCCCCATTCGAAATGATGCTGAAGCCCCCTCTCTCTTTGTCCAGAGGCATACAGTTTAAGAAGGTTTGTACTATTGTATACTACCAAGTCTCATCATGCATGTAACATTCCGTCTGATAGCAATTCTTTTGGTTTCTTTTGTAATTTAATTAGAGATGTTACATCTTTTTGTAACTTAGTAGGCAGGTCAATGGCAAAAATCAATATCAATCTGTGGCCGCGTTTTGTTTTTTCTCTATCCTCCAAGCAGCAGCCGACATGCATTATCATCGTGTTCAAGCGACGAGCATATACGCAACTTGTCAACACACTCTGCATCCATCTATTGAGATTGAACAACAGCTGTATTTGACGTTAGTCTAACGCAAGGTAAATATTGGCAATTACGGGAACAAGACAGGACCCATAATTTTGGAGTATCACGTTCTAGGCTTGTAGGAAAGAGAGTAAAAGTTGTTACACAACTCCACTTACTTTTGATCTTGATTTTACTATAAAATTCATGGACCTTACAATTCTAGGCTACTCATTATTAAAAATTTTAAACTCTTTAAACTCTTACAATTTTAAGTATTTTAACGATTTAAAGTTCATGTTATATTGGTTGAATTTGGATAAAATCGAATCGAGTTAAATGGGTAAGAACAAATCTTTGGGTCATTTAGTGCATTTTTTCTCCTTCTAGTCCACTAACATCATCTCGTTTTCTCTATATTAAGACTAATTTGCTACCATATAAGAAAACGTCAAAACATATCATATACAAAATGAATAAAATGTTAAGATTAATCGATAATGAACAAAATACTCGGACATCACACACAAAAACTTATAACCCATAATAATTTATATTCTCAAAGTAATTGTAAGTAATGATCTCCTATAGTGATTTGTTGTTGTGAGTAACTACTCTATAAGTTTAGATGCAAGTTAGTTGGGTTTATATTTGTGTTGAATTAGAACAATAATCATGAGAAACTATCACCTTAAGTGGTATGTGTAGGGATGGGCAGTGGGTGGGTCAGCCACTAATTCCACCCGATTATAACCCATCTATTACGTGTTTAAGTAGATGTGGTGGGTGGGTGTGACTCATCCTTTTTCTTGCCCATTAAATTTCGATGGGTGACGGGTGGGTGGTGGATGACTCATTGATACGCAAAATCACTCAATATATTATGTCATTATCAACATTCTATGACAACACACTACCTTTTTCCATCTCAAAATTTTAATCGTGATTGATTCAATTAATAAAAAAATATATTTTATTAGTTTTACTTGAATTACAACATAAATTATACGTCAGTTTTGTGAAAATACGATAACTATCCATAAAATATTTTTTGTTCACATTTGAGATAATTAGTGTTTGATTATGCAATAAATTACGTTAGTGGTTATCATTTTCTTGAATTTTGTCGACCAAGATCATGGGAGATAAAAAATTTGGTGAAGGGGAAGAACAAAGCACTTGAGAACTCTAAGTCGGTTTGGCGTAATCCGGACCTATCATAAAGGAAAGCTGTCGATTCAAGTATTGTCCGTCCCAAGGAGGACCAACAGAAGCAGACTGTTGAAGGAAGGGAAAAGATCATCCTCAAAGTGACGGGGTTTGGGACTCGCTTTATCGAGCGACACTTATAGAGGACAAGAAACTGGGAGGAAGAAGCCCTCGTGGCTTTCTGGTAACTAAATCTCCGAAGTTACATGCATATTGCTCGTGGTAAGGGGATGAATTTAGAGAGAAAACCTCATAATGCACCGGTGATACAGAGAAGTGATGCAGAAGCTCGTCTACATGGTCACAAGCAGCTGGTAATGGGAGGAAGGCAAGAGAGCAGGGCAGAAAAAGGTAGTGACAAGTGGATACTGTTGGATAAGAAGCAGCAGATGGTTAGTTCGATTGCTAAGACTGAGAGCTCAGACGATATGAGGTGGAACTTCGTGCATTCCACTAGGATGAATCAGGTGGATGATCAACATAAACAGAAGAGGAGTCGGAACCGAGAGACACAAATGCTTCTGGACTGCCAGAAAGTAGGGTCTAAAGACCTGAATTGTCAAATGGCTATTGAAGGACGAAGGAAGAAGAAGGATTCAGGCCAACCCACCAATGCGGGCCGACATGATGGGACAGAGTCAGGAGGATGGCCGTGAGAGCACTGATTGGAAACTTAAAAAGGAAAAACGACACACAATCAGGATGAAGCGGTTTCATCCTGCGGTGGGTGCAAGCTTGGAGAAAAAGGTGGAAATGGAGGAGTTGGCTGCACACTTCAATGTTGACTCGGATGACCTCCTATCTTCCCCGTACTCACACCCAATGGAGGGATCTCATGTGATTTCGTATGGGATGGATTCCGAAGCCACTATATCAGAGGGAGTTGAGGATGACCCTTTTCTAGAGTTTGGTGATAACCAGTTCGAGCTGAAGAGTAGGAAGGCATCCCTGGAGCCGCAGTCTATTAGGGGGCCTCGTGAAGGAAGAGTTCGGCAGGCGGTGGAAGCCCTTGAAATAGAGGTCACTAATGTGGAGAAGAAAAGGAAGCCTTCAAGCGTGGGGAACAGTCCAAGGAGGTAGTGTGAATAAGACCCTGGAGGTGTATGAATATGAGTCGAACCTGGAAAAACCCAGAAATGGGTAATTGAAAGAGAACCTTTCATGAGGTGGGTGGTGACTAGAAAGATGACCCCACACCGAAGAAGCAATTTGAAGAGGAGGATCTCGATGATGAAATGGTAGAGGAAGCCAGCCATAAGTGGCCCAGATACTCTAGTCTTAGGCTAGATCAAGCTCTTTGTTCTCAGTCTTGGGCTGATCAATTCCTAGATACTCTAGTGAAGCATTTCGTGGATAAGGGATCTGATCACCGAGCCTTGTTATTGTTGTAATAGTCATACGCTCTTCCGATTTGATACTCGTTGGGTAGATAATCCAGAGGTACTGGATATGGTAACTTACGTGTGGAATGAACAAATTCACGGTTCCAAATGTACAGGCTCTGGATGTGTTCGAAACGCTTTCACCACCTCTTGTATGACTGGAGTAGGGCAGACACAACAAATTCCTTGCGGAATATCACAACCCTTTAGGTAGAGATAGATCGGGTAAAACTTGTCCACCTCCATAAACTAGGATGCTGATCTAAGTCGACAATGGGAGGTAGAGGAATTTTACTGCCATCAGAAATGTAGGGTAAAGTGGCTCAAGAAAGGTGATTAGAATACATCATACCCACCTGTTTGCCTCCAAGAATCATGTGGGGAATATGGTCACCTGTGTGGCTAACCTCCCAATTGATAGGACAGTAACGAATGCAATGAATGAGGTTTTGGACGCCGAAGCCTGGCCTCTTAAAATTTGGCAAACGGTCTTTTCGACTTGGTCCACACAAGCACATGGTTCGGACGAATTCACTGTTAAATTATTTCGATCATTTTGGGATACTATCGGGGAGTCAGTGGTCGATGTTGTTTGTTCCTTCTTTAGAACGGATCGAATGTTGTGAAGCTTCAATCACACTTGGCTGACTTAATTACCAAAGTGGACAATGTGGAGATATGAGACAGTTGAGACCCATAAGTTTATGGCAATTCGTGTGTAGAATTATTGTCAAAATCATGTATGAACGGTTGGCCCAATTCCTGGCCGAGATTATTTCACCGGGGCAGAATGCTTTCATTCGAGAAAGACAGATTGTGGATAATGTCCTGCTTGGACACTAATTAATGCATTACCTTAAGATTAAAACTAATGGCATGAAGGGTTACACGACTCTGAAGGTTGATATGGAGAAGGCCTATGATAGAGTCGAGTGGCCCTTCCTACTCTAGGTTTTAGAAAAAAATTGGGTTTTGATATGAGATGGATAAGGTAGATCAAGGAGTGCCTGACTTCATCATTTTTCTTAGTCCTTATGAATGACACTTCATCTGGGTTCTTCCAATCAATGAGGGGACTTAAGCAAGGTTCTCCCGAAAAGCCATTGCGGAAGGGAAGCTAGTCGGGGTTAAGGTTGCCGCAGGGCTCCGCCTCTGTCTCATTTTTTCTTCGCAGACGATTCATACTTATTCGTCAGAGGATTGGTATAGGAATGCGAGAATCTGATTGAGGTCCTTAATGAGTATGACGATTAAGTGGTCAGACATGCTTATCCAATTACTTGGTGCGGGGGAGATAGGGGCACAAGATAAACATTTGGGTCCTCCCACCTTGATTACGGAGTCTAAAATGGCCACGTTTCACTTTTTTGGAGGAAAAGCATTTACAAAGGCTCTAGGGTTGGTTACAGTGAACATTGTCGTGGGCGGAAAGGGAGACGTTGATTAAATCAGTTGCTTCTTCATTACCCTTTCATGTAATGTCTTGTTTCAAACTCCCAACGTCCTTCTATAGGATTTTTGAATAAACATCTGGTCAGACTTTGGTGGGGTGGTCAGTCCCGTATCTGTTGGATATCCTGGAGAAACTTGTGCCACAGTAAACATGATGGGGGCTGGGGTTTCGTCGTTCGAGCACTTAAATCAGGCCCTCTTGGCCAAAATTGGGTGGCGAATCCTTAACGAACCCCTATCCCTCCTGGCTAAAGTTTACAAAGGAAAGTACTTCCCTACATGGTCCTTCCTTACTGCTACTGCACATTCACGACCCTTTTGGGGCTGGCAAAGTATATGCACTGCTTAGTGGTAACAATGTCACACTAATCTATGAGAGCTAATTAACATGTAGTTCACATATAGAGAGATAAATATGGGTTGCACACTTAATTAATCTTAAATGATCATAAGGAAGAGGTAATAAAATATTGCATATGAGCCTAATACTGGGCTTACATAGTTACTATGTAGATTTAGTGCACCTTATGTTAATCAAACCCAAAAAAACTATGCTAATGGAACAATATCGATCATTCCCAAATTAATGAATTATGAATACATCTTTTGACTCTTAGGTTTTTGTAAACATAAAGAAAATCTTAATGCTCGACCTG